ATGAGGAGGACGCTTGTAAGAAAAGTTCAGTGCAGGTGTGGTACAAGTAATACTCCTCATAGCAGCGAACCGTGCGCTACGAACAGTACGGCATTGAAATGCCGTGCTGCAAACGCGCGCGCTCCATTGCGGCACAATTAAGCGTACGTCTTCATTGTCTGTAATTATGGTGGGAGCCGTTCTCATGCACCCATGTGTATATACCAGTTCTCTGTAGCTCTTGTTGCATCACGTAACAAGGCTCCCCCCCGCGGGCTGACTTTATTTGCTTGGCGATTCCTTACTATAGCTGCAGGGCTTCCTTTTTACCTTCTGTCTTTCTTATCGCCCGCGTTACTCTCATTAAACTTGTGCAGCGTCCGTCTTACACCCCGAGGAACTTGGGGGAACAACTTTTCTATAGCGTCGTCGCGAAAGATTGAGCGTGATACACGCAACTATGTAAACTCTGCAAATGCTATACGGGAAACGCGTATCTTTGAAGTGGGGTTCTGTTCCTTCTTGTTTTTCTGAAATCTTGTTTTTTCCAGGCGGCGCAATCATCTCTGACGACATTTAAATAATTGCTTTGACTGTGGACCTCTTCGAACGTGATCGCATGAGTGGCCGCCTCATAAAGCGACCGAAGCGGCGTGTTTGTAATTTTGCGTGTGCTCGTGTTTGTCCATGCCTGCTTGACTCTGAAACGGAAGACGAAGAAGGCATGCAGAAATACACGAGTTCGCATGGCACTCTATATTCAACCCCATGCAGTTAATTTATTAATTTTTTTTTTGTCTTCTGTACCGAGCGCATGCGTCTCGTCTCGTTCATGTAGTATGCGCAGAAGAGGAGCTGGCGTTAGCAGCTGCATGTACAGTGGTGTATAGTGTTAGTAGTGGGGAAAGGGCAAAGAGGAGAGCTAGAAAGGGATGCTTCATAGGCAGTGGCGGCTATAAGCTCATGTACCTAATTGCGCATGCTCCGCACGCACCCGGATGCAAAGGCACCTGCTGCGCGCCTTGTTCGGGCCCTCTCTCTCCTCGATGCTGCTGTTGCAGCTTCTGTGTTGCTTTGCGTGCACGGTGTAGCAAAGGCAAGCGCGTTATGTGCTTTCTTGCACGCCCCGAACGCAACGGAAGCTTTTCGGCTCGGTTCGATTTGCCGCCGCTTCTGCGTCGCCGCGTCTGCCACCGCGCGCTGCTTCGAAGTATGCCGCGCGCTTTATATATAGTTGCTGCTGCTGCCGTTGATGCGAAATTGCGAGCGCGCACCGGAAAACTGCCATTTCTCTGCCGCTGTCTCAGATTCTTTTTTTTTTTTTTCCCTCTCGTGCTCGCTGTTCCCGTCTCTTCGTGGCTTGCGTCGGGTGCGACGCAGGAGTAATTTCCCTTGAGCGTGCTCTCCTTCTTCTGTTCGTTTGTCTTTTTATTTTTTTCCTGACTGATGACAACCGAGCCGTGCAGCGCGGTCAAGGAGCTACGTGGCCGGATCTTTCACGTCGCGTATATAGTCTCTAGTCGTTCGCATATAGCTGTCTTCGCCGTGTGGTGCGATGTGGTTGGTGCTTCGTCGTTGTCATCGTTGTCCGCTCCGCGGCTTCCATGGGCAGCACGCAGTCGGCAGTGGGCGGCGGTAATTAAAATTTGCCGGACCGCTGTCGCTCGGATAAAATGTTTGGAATTGATAGCCTCCGCTTAAAGGGTGAGTGAGGAGGCCGCGAATATACGCTCGCTGCTCCCTCTCTGTTGTGTCGCGCGTGTTTGGGGGGGTTCTCTCTGGATGCGCTTACGGTTGTATTTTTCTTGGTAAAAGCCCGTCCCTTGGAATGTCTCTGAGCGTGTCTTCCTTCTTTAGCGCAGATTGATCGCTTTAGCCTGGGGTATAGTTCGAAACGCCCAGTGTACTTGCAGGCTGTTTGGACCGAGTTTCGTTTTTGTTTGCTTGTTTGTGTTTTTGTTTCGTAGTCGTTTCTTCGAAGGCAGCCAAGTGGCCTATCCGTTTGAACAAAAGAAAGAAAGAGTAGTACTGTACTTGGGTTGCTCGTTCACATTTATGCACGTTAAACTGTTTGTGTGTGTGTGTGTGTGTGTGTGTGTGCGTGTGTGTGTGTGTGTGTGTGTGTGTGATTTGCATTTAAGCAGGTTTGAATACGTACACTTAATTTTTCTTTCATAGTTTTGATATGTTATTTTGTGAAGGTAGTCAGTTTCGTGGACATTATTGCGCGTACTGGAATTTATCTTGTGTTTACAAGGAGTAACGAGAGAAAGAGATTGATAAAACGAATTAAAATTATATGAAATTTGACACGGAAGTGTGATGGGTAGCGCAGTGTGCTACAAATGTAGCTCTTACGAAGTTCTAGATGCCCCGATTAAAATTGACGTTCACCTATTTTTACAATACTCGACAAGTATACCTGTATATGCTAGCCCTTGCCACATGGGCACTTCAACCTTTTTGAACAGTAAGACTTCGTCTCATGAAGAGCTTCTCCGGAAAATACGACATTGAGTGATCTCTTCGGAATGAGCGATCTTTTTTTCTGGAAACGGAGTTCGTCGACCTCTTTTCACGGCCGTAAAGGCCTCGAAACCCGTGGGCTCCAGCAGTTACGAATTGGTGAAACGAGAAATGGGCAAATGCTTATTCTTTGGTCTCCTATAGCCTCAACATGAGACAAATTTAATACCTCGTAAAAGGTGTAATATACCCTTTAAAGCTTATGCGCTCGCGTACTTTCGTATACGCTATAGTCGCACGGGTCGGGGATGTCGCGTGGGGGAGTGCGTCACACGCATGGTCGTACGAAAAACAAGCGTGGCATCGCAACATCTGTGCCCAACGCCGGTGGCCAAATGGCCTTGGGCACACGCTGAATGCATTGTATACAATGCTCCTAGAGAGGCGCCTTGGGTTTTGCTTATCGAGAGGTACATATTTTTCTTGACTTCTTCTGTTTGGCATGCTCGCTCCACGCGTTCGGTTTCGTGTTCGGAAGGAAACAGTAAAAACGGATCGTCGGTGCCGTGAGTTTGCGAGGCAACGCCTCGTCATTAAAAAAGTCTTTCAGCTTTCTAAAGAAATAAATACCGCATACGTGAAATATTTATTGCGTGCTCGAGTGACTGCCAATATGGATAGGATATAACTACCAATATGGATAGGATAGTTAAGATAGCGGAGGAGTTTTATAGGGATCTGTACAGTAGCCGAGACAACCACGACCTTAATACTATAAGAACTAGCAGTAACCCAGATTACACCCCACCAGTAATGATAGAAGAAGTCAGAAAAGCTTTGGAGAGCATGCAAAGGGGCAAAGCTGCTGGTGAGGATCAGGTAACATCCGATCTGCTGAAAGATGGAGGACCGATTGTGTTAGAAAAACTAGCCACTCTGTTTACGAGGTGTCTCCTGACGGGAAGAGTACCAGAGTCTTGGAAGAACGCTAACATCATCTTAATACATAAGAAAGGAGATGACAAGGACTTGAAGAATTACAGGCCGATCAGCTTGCTCTCTGTAGTATACAAGCTATTTACAAAGGTAATTACTAACAGAGTAAAGAAAACATTAGAATTCAATCAACCAAAGGAACAAGCAAGATTTCGAACAGGCTACTCAACAATTGACCACATTCATACTATCAATCAGGTAATACAGAAATGCTCAGAGTATAACCAACCACTATACATAGCCTTCATAGATTACGAGAAGGCGTTTGATTCAGTAGAAATATCAGCCGTCATGCAAACACTGCGGAATCAGGGCGTACATGAAGTATATATAAACATTCTGGAAGAAATCTACAGGGGATCAACTGCTACCATAGTGCTTCATAGAGAAAGCAACAGAATACCAATCAAGAAGGGTGTAAGGCAGGGGGACACAATATCCCCAATGCTATTTACCGCGTGCTTACAGGAGGTTTTCAGAAGCCTAGAATGGGAACAGTTAGGGATAAGAGTCAATGGAGAATACCTTAGTAACCTGCGCTTCGCCGATGACATTGCATTGCTGAGTAACTCGGGGGACGAATTGCAACTCATGATTACGGAGTTAGACAAGGAGAGCAGAGAGGTGGATCTTAAAATTAATCTGCAGAAAACGAAAGTAATGTACAACAACCTCGGAAAGGAGCAGCGCTTCGAGATAGGTAATATATAGTGCACTTGAAGTTGTAAAAGACTATGTCTACTTAGGGCAGGTAATAACCGCAGAGCCGAACCACGAGATTGAAGTAACTAGAAGAATAAGAATGGGGTGGAGCACATTCGGCAAGCACTCTCAAATTATGACAGGTAGATTGCCACTATCCCTCAAGAGGAAGGTATATAACAGCTGTATCTTGCCGGTACTTAGCTACGGAGCAGAAACCTGGAGACTTACAAAGAGGGTTCAGCTTAAATTGAGGACGACGCAGCGAGCAATGGAAAGAAAAATGGTAGGTGTAACCTTAAGAGACAAGAAGAGAGCAGAGTGGATTAGGGAACAAACGGGGGTTAAGGATATCATAGATGAAATCAAGAAGAAATGGACATGGGCAGGGCATGTAGCGCGTAGACAGGATAACCGCTGGTCATTAAGGGTAACTGACTGGATTCCCAGAGAAGGGAAGCGGGTTAGGGGGAGACAGAAGGTTAGGTGGGCAGATGAGATTAAGAAGTTTGCGGGTATAAATTGGAAGCAGCAAGCACAGGACCGGGTTAATTGGCGGAACATGGGGGAGGCCTTTGTCCTGCAGTGGACGTAGTCAGGATGATGATGATGATGATGAGTGACTGGGATATAAGACAACCTAAATTATGGCATCTATAGTTAGAGCGACCTGATTGATGATCGTGGTGGACCTCTTTTTGAAAAAAAAGTGCCTTCATGATTATACTGACTGGATAACCAAGCCAGTCAGCCGCCTTGTTAAGTTACATTTCGTGAATATATAGCTCTGATTCTCGCACCATGCCAACGTGAGTGGGACCTCTTTTATGCATTCCTGTGAACGTTGCCTTTCGCAGGACGCTGCCAAGGTGTGCCAGGACTACATCGCCCGCGATCCCGAAAACCTGAACTTCAGCGTGATGGCCCTGGCCCAGACTGACGCCTAAATTAACCTCCCGAGGAGCCACTGCCCCGTGTGCGTAAGCAAAGTGAGGGAAGTTGGTTTTTGAAGGGCCATAGTTCTTTTTTCTTGCCAATATTAATGAAAACTAGTCGACAGTAATGCCAATGAAAGTATAAGGGATGTCATTTGCAGTGATTGCTACAAGAATAAGCAACATTCGGATGACGCGTCCTATGCTTTATAAACCAAGCCAGAGCGGTGCCACCCCCTCTCCTACTCACTTCATTGGGTATATATATGTGCATTTAAACCGTTGAGTGTTAGTCGGCGCCGATCGAAGCCCTGGCGGTGAGTATGGAACACACACCTTCATGGTGAATATATGGATAGTCATTTTCTGAGTAAAATACGGGGACATCATTCTTACGGTGCTGCAAGCTCGTTGAATCGTGGCACTTCATCCACTGAACACTCGCCTCTCTGCGAAAGTGGCCAAGCTTCCCAAAACTATACTTGCCGCTCAGTAGGGACAATGCAGTATATATACACGTGAGGTGAATCGTATCTTTAGTCGAGTTTGGTTTGTGCATGCGTATAGGTTGCGCATGCATGCATATAGGTCCGCGCTTCGCTGATTATGTTTGCTAATGCTTGTTGAACGTTAAGTCCTGTCTGCGTTATACTTTTCGGTGCGTTATATTCGAGTCCTGTCTGCGTTATACTTTTTCGGATTACCGTGTGCGAATTCGGCACGCAACTTGCGCTAAATATCAGCATGCCGTTCTCCCGGATCGCGTGCTGAAGTTGTGCCCTTGTTCTTTGGCGTGAAACCGCGGAGCCCGTCACTGTGTGGGAGCAGCAGAACTTGCTTGATTGGCTAGACGCTTATCTTTATTTTTTTATTTCAAACTGCCTGGTGTACTTATACACGAGCTAATAATGGATGGCTTCGTGCTCCAGTTGTCGAGCTAAACAACATGAAGGTCAGTGCGTGCATCGCTCTAAAGAGTGCTGTAAAGGCACGCACTTTTGAGTTTTAATCTTCAATATGCGCGGACCTAATTTGGGCTTCCTTCTTTACATGGTAGGCGAATACCTGTTCAATCTACCACATATACGAGGCCAGGTTTTGGCACTGGTTTACGGCATTCCCGAACTTCTCTTTTGTGTGATACTTCGTTGGCATCTGACTGTCGCGTTTTTATTTCATCCGTCTTTTCTTTTAAGAGGCGTCCGTTTCCAAGGCGGTCATGCTATAGGCAATCAATTCTCGTCATCCGCCGCAGTCTTCCTAATCCATTCGCTCACGGCGTTCATGTATTCTTCGCACTCGAACAATGGGCCCATCAGTTGGTGAGCTTTTCGCTTAGACGTGCGCTCTCATTCGCATGCAGCTTACTTTTTCGGTCTTCCAATACACACAGACGTGGCCTCGACAAATGGCGCTTGTGTATTGCTTGAAGCGTGGTCGCTGGAATTTTTTTCTTTCTTTTTTTTATTGAAATATCATTCTATGTCGGCCTTTCAATTCGCCTGATTTTAAGCAGGGCCGCTCTGCAGGCGGTTGGCACGCGTTGGGTAACCAACCCGTCCTGCTACACCGCCGGCCACCCAACCGGCCACTGGAATGTCCCCTCGCGAGATTCCTTCTTCCGCGTGCCGGCCGAAACAAAAGAACGACGGCCGTTCGAAGCGCGCGCGGCTTGGCCGTTCATCGTACGCCGCAACTCTTTCACGGGCTAACCGCCGGCAGCGTGGTTTAAAGGACCGCTGTACATTCTATACTTACTTCCGTGACGCCCGTGGCGGCGGCTAATGTCCAGTGGGTCTCGGCCCACCGGTCGCTGTTACGAAAGGAATGGATGTAAAGGGAGATATTCGGGAATAAGTAGGGATAATAAGAGGAGCAGGCTCGAGCGAAAGTAATAAAAAAAAAACTGAAAAGAAGGAGGGGGATACGGGAGCGAAGAGAGGTCGCAGGAATGTCGCTGCGACACTTTCTCTTTTCTTCCCTTCTTTCTTTAATTTTTTCTTGTGTACCTTTTGCTTCTGCGTTCAGCGCTCGAACTCCGGAGCTTCGGAACCCGGAACTCATTCGTCGAGCGGCCCAACCCAGGTTTCCATTGTCGCGCTCATGGTCCAGTGGTGGCGACGGTGGCCGGTCCGACCACGCTGGAAAGCCTCCCCTTTGCTTGTTTCTTTTTTCTCTTCCCACAATGGGGGCCGTCGTCGGCTGTGGGACAGCCGCTGGGAGAAAGTGAAGGAGAGATTGCTCGCCACTTTCTTTATGTTCTTTAAAGCTTATTCCCTACAGTCCCGTCTGCCTTTTCTTCAGGACTTGCAGCGAAGCGGCCTTCCTATCAATTTTTCTTTCCTTTTTGTATTTCTTCAAGTTTTCGATGAGGCGCAGTGGTTCGTCGATGGCTCGGGTGCCGTCCGTTCGTCGGAACGCCGGTGGTGCGCAGTTTTGTCGCGACATTTGAAGAGCACCACCTTCCATCTTGCCTCCTCGCGTTCTTTGCTCTTCTTTGGGCGAAATTTCTTTTTTTTCTTTCCTCCTGGAGTTGCGCGTCGCGGCCTTGTCCCCGTCGCACGTGGGCGCGCGTTGTGTTTCCCTCAGAAGCGGCACCGCTGCATGTTATGCCGGCGTGGTGCGTCTCGTCATTGCTGCTGCCTGCCATATTGCACGGCTGGCCGCAAATCTGGGTCACCGGTGGCAGACGCTGGACGCCACCGGGCTTCCCATCTGCGCGCGCACTGGCCGTGCGGGCAGCAGCGCATCGCAGCAGCCTTTGGGGCGAGGCCCTTCCCTAGCCCAGACCATGCATCAAAAGCGAGACGACGGCTGCGGGGGCGACTGCCTGCACCACGTCGCGCCGCACCATATCGTGTTGCCCTGTTTGTCATCGCGACGGTGATTCTGTTGTCGTCACCTGCTTCTTCTATAGACCATTGTGGCAGCTTTCCCTTTCTTGGCTGTCTATTTGATTCGTCTTGTTTTGCCTGTTGTTGCGGCGACAAACGCGGACTCTTGCGCGACCTACATGTCGTAAGAAAAACTTCGGGCGTCATGTTTGCCGTCGTTATTAGCTTATGGCTGCGCTGTCGCTCAAGGAACCTATCACGAAGCAATTACGTCATCCGTCTCGTATTTAGCCGAGCCACTTCTTCAATCCTAGTTAGCCCAGTCGCGGCACTTCCTCAATTTACTTACCGTGGTGAGGTACTCAAGGGAGCCACCGGCATTCATTAGACTTGCGTTCTCTTCTATGCTGTGTCAAGAAACTGACTTGTTCTTAATGTTAAAGCTGAAGACTATATATGGTATATTGCTTGTAGATGTTCAGAATAAAACCAGCGGAGAAACATGGACAAACCAGGAAAGGCAGTCACCGCGCTGAAGTGCCCATTTTCACTGTTACCGCTCTTTGTACGCTTCGCTGTACCGAGTTTCTTCCGTATCGTCCAGCTGTCGACTCCATTTATGACGTAGTTTTGTTTTGAGGATATATCTATCGCCTTTCACTCAATGCAATATTGTAGTTAGCCGTGTTCGCTCAACGCTTGCGTTGGCTATCTTTTGCAGAGCTCATTGATGCTTACTTGTAGGGTCTTACCTCTCGAAGATAATTCTTCGAGGCTGTGATGCTCTGTTCCACGATCTATAGGCACCATTTCATTCGACGAATGGCTTTCCGAGTCTGTGTTTTTTCGAGCGCTGCTTTACTCACCTGCGTTTGGGATGATTCGTTTGGGATGGGATGGCGCAAATTTATATGCTCGACAAATAATAATAATTATAAAGTGGCCGAACGTGAAGGGTGTCTTTCTTGTACCGGCAATTTTACTTGCGCTGTTTTACGTTGTTGCGTGGTAATTTGCTGTTAAGCGTTGAATCAGTACTACGAATTTTCGTAGTTCAGGTAACGATTCTTGAATGTAAAAACCACGTTTACTCGAGTAACTATAGTGTTTTAATTGTAATTGCTAGCTTATCATACAAGGTAGTGTCATACTCCACAACAATCTTGCAACCCGTCATTGAGTAACTTGTACGTCAACTGCAGCCTTTTTTTTTTCTATTATGAAGTGGGGAAAACCGGCGTGTTAGAATTTACGTGTTTTTCGTAGATGCGTGCCGACTTTCAACAACCCCAATTTACCGTATATTTCGACGATTATTGCTCTCCTCATTATCGCCACCCGTTTCTTCTATGCAGCAATTTGTTGCCACTCGGCGATTACGGTCAGTCAGGTGCAGGTTCCGGTCACGCCCTTTTTGTCTTATAGGAATATCTATATATGAAAGAAAGCATGAAACGAACCAAAGAAAGCCCGAAGAGGATCTGTCCGTGTTAGCGGGGGTGGTATGTGGGTGGCTCATTCCCGGAGCTGCCTCAGGGGTGGACACGAAAGGGGGGGGGGGGTTGGACAACGTCACTTCCGGTATGCGGGGGCCGGTCCTGCGCAGAATTCGGACGTGTGTGCCGCGCGTGGACGGCACGTGCCCGCTGCCGGATGGAGGGCGCGCCGAAAAGTCGTGATTGCCCCCGGCGATATAACAGCGCGGCTAAAGCCGTGTGCCGATCATGCAGCACAGCTCCAATGAGGAACGGGGCTGGAGCGGGGAGGGGTACGCTGTTCTCGCTGTATAGAGGTCGTGACTCGGGCGTGATTGTCCCTAGAAAACGGAGGAGAGGTGAATGAGTGGTGAGAAGAGAAAAATAATAAAGGAAAGAGGAAGGAGTCGACGCTTTAGCTGTGCGTAATGTATATTTTTGCACTGTGGCGGCGCTTTCTAATTTTTAAGTTCTCGTGAAATGAGCGGGCCTGTTAGGCTGTCTCCGGCTAATCGCTGGCGCTACGTCCGCAACGAATAGCGAGCTCCGTTTAGCGCCTTGTAACAGACGAGCCAGTTTTAGGGGGGCGGACGGCCAACATTGGTTCTCTCGCGCCCCGCCTTTGATCTTCGTCGCAGGATATATGCCGAGTGAATGCGCATAAGGTACCTTTGCAAAATCGGTTCGGCCTTTTTTCTTTTCCTTGACTTTGGCGTGCAATTCGCCGTGTGTGCGTGTATTATATTGTGTTCTCACGTTGATCGGCCTTAATATTATGGTATAGCAAAACGTTAATGAAAAAAAAATTCTACAGGCTTTTCGGGTTGTATTTCTTTGCCGTGACGTTAATTATCCTGCGTGCTTTTCCTTTTTCTAAAATGCCGCGCGCCCGGTACTTTTCGGTTAATAACATGCCAGTTGTCAGCATGACTTGTCATTCTTCGCAGAAAAAGCATTTTGCTCAGTGTTATAGCACTGGTGTCTGTCCTGAGCATAGCCCTTAACTACTTATCAATGCGTTCTTAGGAGATCTGCATTCATTTTTGCATGGTACAGATTGATAAGGGTTGATAAGGGTTGATCAGTGCCACGTTTTGTTTTAAAAGGGCTCGTGGAATAATCCGTTTACGTATTTATGCCGTGTGTTCTTTACAGGTGTTCGCTATTATGGCGCAAGGAGCGCCAGGCAACCAGCACCGTGCTGCCTTAGTTTTTCTTGCAGGTTCCTCGCCTTTTGGCTGTTTTTGCTAAAGGATGTTCAAAGCAGCTCTTTTTCGTACGCGCAGCTTGGACCTTTTGACTACGCTGCTTGTGTCCTGGCAAACTCTGCAAGAGATCGAAAAAAAAAAAACAACGAAAGGAAAAGCAAGACCGTCATATGCCTTTTTTTTTTTTGCTTTGTTGCTTCCGCATATGTACCGAGTCGGAATAAATTATTCTCTGAGAGCAATACGCCGTGTATTGTTACACCTGTGTGCCCTGCTCTGTACCGTTGACTAGTTGTGTATCGGCCTTTGGTGATCCAAATCGAAAACTTGTGACTGAAGGGGATGGCTTTTCCCAGAGGACAAATCATTTGAATTGAAGCATCATCGACGGGAACTTTGAGGCTTCTGGTTCATGTTTGTTTACCTCTATCGTTTTGTTGCAATGAAGATACAAAAAAGATACAAAAAGCAAAGCGGTAAATATGAAATAGCTTGGAACGTTGATTCGTGTGTCGTGTTGCGATGACTAGCGTGTAAAGCGGCTGTGTACTTGAGTGATGAAATTTTCAACAGTTTCGTTTAAGAGTATGCTATCAGCGTTTGACGTTAGTCTCAGTGCATGATTGGACAGTAGTGTGGTTTCTGTTTTCTGACGACGCACAGTCGGTTACAGTCGCTCACCGCAGGTCGCGGGCTGCAACGCGGCCGCGGCGACCACATTTACGTGTAGGCGAAATGCCAGAGGGCCTGTCTACTGTGCACGTTACTGGAACCAGGCAGTCAAAACTTCTGCAGCCCGCCACTAAGGCGCGCCTCGTATTCATATCGAGGGTTTCGGTGCGTAAAACCCATTGTTTCATTACAGTCGCACGTAAAATATAGTCTTGCGCTCAGTATAGGTGAGTGGAATGTGGAGGTACTTGTAACCTTCCGATCTTTTGGAGACGACGGGATACCCACGTGACCTCTCGTTTATCGCAGTTTTTCGGACTCAACCGAATCTAATATACTTGTTTATATTGTACCTCCCTTGCTCAAGGAACAACGGACACAGTACACCGTTGTGCGAACCAACGAATGGGTTGATTTGAACAATGTACATAGATAGCTCCCTAGCTTTGCCCCTACCAGAGAACAAACGCATGGACGTGAGCATGAGACATCAAACGTTTTCGCCTTAATATTTGACTCGCCCCGGAAGAAAGTCTGTGGAACCTCCTACATAGCAGAGACATCAAACGTTTTCGCCTTAATATTTGACTCGCCTCGGAAGAAAGTCTGTGGAACCTCCTACATAGCAGAGACATCAAACGTATTCGCCTTAATATTTGACTCGCCTCGGAAGAAAGTCTGTAGAACCTCCTACCTAGCGTTGCTCAGCGCGCGTTCGATTCGAGGGTACGCGACAAACTCCTTGGGCGCCGAACGCCGTCCCTCACGCGGATAAAGAAAGGAAGTGAAACCAGAAGACAAATCCTCGTGACAGTCTCTGAGCCCAGCTGGAAGTATACGCTGGGAATCGGGGAGCACAAGAAAGAAGCGGCTTCGGGGGAAGGTTGCTTGTTGGTATTGCAGACGTCCGCACATGGCGGGCACGCAGTGCAAGGTGTTGGAAGGTGTATTCTTTAAATAATTTCTGCATTGTGCGATTCTGACATGCGCTATATTTAATTATTGATTTGAGGCGTCGATTATCAATGATGTAACGAGAACTCACGGACACTCGTGCGAAGGAAAGTATAGAGGGTGTTATCAGAAGTAATTATGTAAATGTAAAGAATGAAAAGTGGAAGAAAAGATAGACTGCCACGTCAAATATACCGAACCTGCGGCCTTCGATTATCACAGGTTTTACGCTTGTCGGTGACAAAGGTCACAGGTTCGGCCCCTGCCAGTTACAAGTTATCTTTTTGTTCGCTTTTCTTTTTTCACTATTGCATAATTTTGATAACACTCTGTATACATTTTTCGGCATGAGTGTCTGTGAGTTCTTTTGCGTTTGGCTGGCCACCCTTTTGCCGCGGTCGCCAGAAGGAAGAAAGGCAGCCGCCTCATTTTGTGGAGATAAGGAGCAGCGAGAAGACGTCCTGCTGTTTACATGTGCTGGGCGCTGCGTGGCTGAAATTACTCTACGGGGCACACTCTGTCCTTCGCGTCCGCGCAGAGATGTGACACGTGGCGTCTTCGTGCCCCGATAAAAGCCACAATGCCGAGCTTCTGCCGATTACGGACGTCGGACCACCACTCTGTGCGTCTCTGACTGATGAGCCGCCGACGCTCAAATCAGCACCAGATGTCCAGGTATGGCTCCTCGAAGGCTCCTTGACGGCGATCGCCATTCGACAAAGCTTGGGTGGTCGGCGCGAGCGGCGAGATGACGAACACGTTTCACCCCACTCGCTGGAAGGAAGATTTCGCCGGAGAAGGCAGCATCGCCGGGACTACACACGTGTTTGGTTTGTGTATGTGTGTTTGTTGGGGGCGGTGCCCGCATAATGACACTCGTGTGTGCTGCGGGACATGTTATTGGACACTGCCGTATGGACCTACTCCCCGATCTAGGGATCTGGGGAGATGAGACTGTATTTAATCAGACCTCGCGGGCTGCTTAGTGTGGTTCACGGAGCCTGCTCAATAGGCAGCCTTTTAGCGGCGAGGCTCCTTATAGCGGCACCCGTTCGTCCCTCGTAGCCGTTGTAGTAGTGTGTAACAAGTATAACATTTTGACCTCGAAGGTGGTGCCGGTAAGAGATCTCTTCTGTGTGTTGTTGAACAATAAAAGATAGTGCTCAATGTACATGCCAATAGCTGCTAAGGGGGAATGAGAGACAGGAGCATTCGGCTTTTAGTTAACGCGCACGCTGCGAATTTTTATTGTTCAACAACGCACAGAAGACAAGAAAGGGTTGCTACGTTATACTCGCTGGGCGTAACCTCCTAGGTTTTAGTAAGTTTTAGCGAGCCGATAGTTATAGCGCGAGAACAAAACGACGACACAGAGACAAGAAGGACACGAAAGACACGTCTTTCGTGTCCTTCTTGTCTCTGTGTCGTGGTTTTGTTCTCGCGCTATAACTATCGTCATGCCATACCAACTAGCCCAAGCTGCCACACTTATAGCGAGCGTTGAGCCTCAGTGCCATGAATACAGTGAACTAGTATATACCATGAACTCGAGGTGGTTACAGGTGGGAAGTAGACACGAAGCGCAAGCCGTAAGAAAGTGTGCGTGTGCCTCCTTGCGTTCAGTCCTTGGAATGTCCGCTGGATGGCGGTGCTTCTATATGAGGAATATTTGATGAAAAGATGCGAGACGGTGGTGCTTGGAGTGTTGAATAGGTGTGTTGAAACCAAAAAGAACTATCGGTTAAGAAGAAAGTGAAGGAAACGGAGACTGACATGTGGAGAATGGGCATGATTAAGAAGTCCGCACTAGAGATCTATCGAACGTTTAAGCAGGAAATTGCCAAGGAAAGGATCTATGATAATACTCGGGGTAGTTCTCTACTGTTTGAGGCCAGAACGGGAGTACTGCGAGCCAAGACATATCGGGCCAAATACGAAGGGGTAGACACAGTATGCAGTGCGTGTGGAGAGGAAGAAGAAACTGCCGAACACTTGATAATGTTCTGTAAAGGGCTTCACCCTATAGTTCAGGATGATGGCGCAGAGTTTTTCAAAGCACTGGGGTTTAGGGACCGGGAGGGCAAAATAGACTTGAAGCGGGTAGACTTAACTAGAAGGAGGTTATCTGATTGGTGGCTAAAGTCAAGGCACGAGTGAAAATTAAACTCTTCACTGCAAAGTACGAATCCTCAAACTCTTTTTTTAAGGAAAAAAAATAAACATAATTTTTGGTTCATTAGGTATTACGGCTTGGTGGCGCTAGCCACCGCCCGATCTAAAGGGTACAGCCATATCCATCCATCCATCCATCCAGGTGGATGAACGGACACACAGACAGATGCATGGATGGACGCACGGATGGCTGCACGGACGGATGGACGCAGGAGCGGATGCATGGACGAAAGCAGAGACGGACGCACAGATTAACGTGTGGACACACGAACAGACGCACACACGGACGGGCGGATGGACGCACGGGCGGCCACACAGACGCACGCATGGAAGGACGGAAGCAAGAACGAATGGACGGACGGACGGATGCTTCGCCCCACTATCCATCATTCACCCCGTGGATATGCTGCCATTTTTTTTTTTTTCAATGTAGAGCTTCGGACCAGAGAGTCCGTGCCATGGAAATAATGTAAATAAACCCTTTGTACGAAGTTCAACCTCCTCCTGCCTCGACATCTTAATCCCGGATCTCCGGTGCCAAAAACCCCGGTCGCAACAGTTCTCATTAGCAATGTGTCTAACAACGAATAACGTGGCCTTAAATTTACAAATATTATTAATGAAACATTTAATGCATTGAGAATTTAGCAAGACATTTTTTTTAGTCGCAATAATATATTCCTTAACGGCAAAGAAAACATACCTGTGGCTTGTGGATGCCAATCACGCTCCAATTTCTTTTTTTTTAATTTGCTATACCTCATGGTCACTCAAGTCTTCGTTGCTAGGTGGCGCAATCGTGACAAAGCAGTGCCATCTTTAGCTCATGTCCTGCGGAGAAGCTGGTCTGCAGTATACGTGGGTTCTGTGCGGTGAAGTCAACTTCACAAATTGTTCGAGTCTATCCGCAGTCTATCCATTACTGTGAGCCAAACATTGTGATCATAAGTCATAAGACTCGTAACATAAAAAGAACGTGCACGTTATGAAGTTAAGCGTCGGGTGCGGGTATAGAGCTTACTTCACCCCAAGCTTCCAGATTTTTAACTTATTTGAGTTCCGTGCGCTGTGTAATTTAGTTCTAAGTTATATACAGTCATAGGCCGGTGTAAGCTAACTCAGACTTTCATATGTCTTTATTATTTTTTTCGAAACTGGGCTTGCTGGAACTCAAGTTCTCTGAAATATTACTCCCTCGGACTCGAGACTCAGATTGACGGCTCGATATTTTTGCGAATGAGTCTGAGTGGGTCACACGAGTCAGCTATGTATAATTAAGATTTGAGACCATGTTGTCGATGCTTTTTAGCGCCAATGTCTCGTATAATCAGTGCTCTACATGGCG